TCACTTGCTGTTAGCTTGCCTGTAACAAACAACTCAGGATCTTTTGTCAGCATTTCCATGGCTTGACGATCGACTGACTTTTTAAACTCGTTATTTATCACAACTTCAAGAGGCTTGACCTTGCTTGTTGCCCCTGGTGGGACTAAAGCTAGAGCAATATGACATGATCCTGAATGTCAAAGAATCAAAGTTAAGGAGCAGAGAGAATTCACTGAGGATTAAAGCAACATCATGCTTGTTATGCGGTTGTGGTCAATTTATTTATTTATTATTTAATTTATTTAATAAATGACACATTTTGACCACCCAAAAGTTGTGGCCTCCCAAGCTTGCTTATTCTGAAAGTAATGGGGCCGCTTTTTTCTGAACTCATGGTACATTGTTTATCTTTTATTCTGTTACCATCCTCAGAATACACCAATAATTATTTATTTAGAAATGGCAAGTATTATTTTAGTCATAGAATCACATCTTGAAACCACCTTATATGGTAATATAACCACAGCCTGGAAACTCCATATAACTCATATCTCAGTTTAATTGAGCATTTTTGTTGGTCTCTGCAGAGTCTCCCAGTCTGTGTGCAGTTGAGGCATGCAGTTTGAGTTTTGTTCTTCAAATCCACCCACCGCTAGAGAGAGTGTTTCATCTGATTCCTGAAAATGCTGTTTTGAGTGGTGATGACTTTGTGCCAGGAATTTTGGAACCACAACCTGATGGTTAGCATATTAAGCAATTTATTGCAACAATTCTGTCTAGGGTTGAGTTTTACAATCCTGGGTTACATACAGTGAAAACTTATATGCCCTGTTCGCATTTAACTCAAGATTAGAGCTAACCAAGCTTTGAACAACTTCACCCAGAAGATACTAGTAATTAAAAATAGATGCTATTGCATAAAGTTACAACTGCAGCTGCCGTGTGCTACTACATAAGGTATTTATTTGACCATTAGGAGAAGTAAGAAAAAAAACTACAATATAGTTTCCTGCTGACTTAGTCAAAGTGTTATAAATTATTGCTGTGAAACAAGCTCACCCAGTTTATTTAAAACTCCTGATGATGTGGGTTTGGCTTTTATATTGATCATCGCATGTGAAAAGTCTTTTTGTAGCAATATCAAGACAGTAATCAAGTTCTTTAAAAATGCAAGTGTCATGCTAAATATAAAATTTATGTTACTTTTTAAAAGATGTGTAATGTACTAAGGTCATTTCGTCTTAGTCGGATGTTTCTTCTTTAGGCTCAGGAATTGTTGACATTCTAAAGAAACCCAGGTTGGCAAAAACTACTCCAAGCTTTATTAACAAGGTATTACAAATTGTACATTAACGTCTAGGTGGCCTCTGGTAGTCTCTCTACCAGTTTAAGAGTAAATTACTTGTTTGAGTTTCATATTGTTTTGCTTTAAATATCACATATGAGGCAAAATTGCTGAAAGCTGATTGGCTGAGACAGGGGGCATTTTTTTCTTAAGTAGGACATTTTTGGTAGTAGGATTGTTATTTGTAAAATAGAGTTAACTAATTAGAGCTTATTGCAGCCTTCATTTTACCATGCATACTCAGTATTGTTGGCTACAACAGCCACATTATATTTAGCATATGATAAAGGACATTACGTGACTTTTTTCTTGTGCAAGAGTGGCCTGTTTATTTAGATATTCACAAGAACTGACCTTGGGTTTACAGTTTCTTAATAACTATGCTTTATTGTTGCCAGCTGTAAGTGATACTAAGTTGTGCCTATAGCTGTCATACCACTTGAGTGCTTCTTTGTTTTTTAGCTTCACATGTTCATGCTGTATTTTTATTATGTAGCTTACCCGCATCAGTTGTTTATCTTTTTGAGTATGCCTCATCCTACAAGTCTGGATTCCACAAACCTTTCGCTCTTCGAATGTCAAGCCCTCCCAATGAATCCCTTGATTCTTTTGGCTTCAGCCCAGAATCTTGTCACCACTGGAACAAGGACTCTCTTGGCGGAAAGGATTTTTGAACATGAACGACCGAACGAGCATGATCCTCAACGCATCAACCTTCATGCTCCAGCTCCGCCAATGCCTCCCTCTAATTCCACTGTATCTCAGGACGTTCAGCGACCTTCTTCAGGCACAAACTTCTCCCTTAGCCAACTTGACCAACTCCGTGAACTGATAGCCAAAGCCATTGGTCCCCAATGTTCTGGCTCCCATGAAGCTCTGGGCTTGTTAGCAAACATACCGCTCCTTTCCCCCGCAAGCCCTACCAACAGTGCGGCATTCAACGCCTCACAATAGAACCTGCAACGTACTCCAAATACTGTACAAGATGGCAGCTCTGTGCAATTCCAGCCAGTGCCCGGTCTGCCCTGGGCTCATGCCAAGTCAGTCAAGCTGCATTTGCTGTTCCCCATCACGACCCTACCTTGCCACCACTACCGGCAAATGTGGGTACATTGATTTCAACGAACTTTGGTCGGGTAACATGTATCCACATCCCTCCTTTTGCCTCCTCCCAGAACAACTTCACCCTCAATCTTGACCCTCAAGAGGCCACCACCCTAGCTTTCGTCCCTTCTTAGCACAAGAAGTGTCGTATCGTGGTCAATCCTCCTGGTTGGAAGCCTGGAAGGTCTTCCTACACTCAGTTTTATTACTTTACGGGGCTTTACCCACACCTTGCCTCAGACCTCCTCGCATATCAGGCCCAAATTTGCAAGTTTAGTAGTAGATTTAAAGCATCAGCCTGCTTTGTGTATGATACAGCCTTTCACTANACGCCTCACAATAGAACCTGCAACGTACTCCAAATACTGTACAAGATGGCAGCTCTGTGCAATTCCAGCCAGTGCCCGGTCTGCCCTGGGCTCATGCCAAGTCAGTCAAGCTGCATTTGCTGTTCCCCATCACGACCCTACCTTGCCACCACTACCGGCAAATGTGGGTACGTTGATTTCAACGAACTTTGGTCGGGTAACATGTATCCACATCCCTCCTTTTGCCTCCTCCCAGAACAACTTCACCCTCAATCTTGACCCTCAAGAGGCCACCACCCTAGCTTTCGTCCCTTCTTAGCACAAGAAGCGTCGTATCGCGGTCAATCCTCCTGGTTGGAAGCCTGGAAGGTCTTCCTACACTCAGTTTTATTACTTTACGGGGCTTTACCCACACCTTGCCTCAGACCTCCTCGCATATCAGGCCAAAATTTGCAAGTTTAGTAGTAGATTTAAAGCATCAGCCTGCTTTGTGTATGATACAGCCTTTCACTACAATGCTGCCTCCAATGTTTCAGTGGCATGGGGGAAAGTTAATGAACAACTCTACAATGATATTTTAAAGGACGAGACCCTCCCCTACTGCATCCATTGCCATGCCTATGGCCATCGTACCTTGGGTTGTCCAACTAGATCAAAGCCTCCTCAGCCTTTTCATCCCTCCACGGCTTCCTCCACCACTTCCTTCTCTGACACCTTTGGTTCCCCTTCCACTGCCCCCAACCTCCCATCACAACCCAAGCACCCCCAACAAGCAGTCATCTGTCGTGACTTCGACCGTTGGACCTGTGGCCACCCCAACTCTCAATAATATTTAAGCACATCTGCAACAAACCAGATTCCAGAGGAAACCACCCTGGCTCCCAGTGGCCAAAACTACCTCAGCTGTAATCTTGTCCTCCCCTCCACACCCATTAGCTTTCCCAACTTGTCTAAGGAACTCAAGCATTATCCTGATCAACATTTTGACGTCGTGTCTACGGCCCTGGCTAAGGAGGTGTCCAACAGTCATACCGCAGAGCCCTTTCCATCACCACCTATCCCCAACCTCCAATGTTCCCCTCTCAGGGTAGTGCCTAACAAAGATGGCACTTGGCGGCTTATTATGGATCTCTCCTCTCCCCATGGTTCTTCAATTAATGACTACATTTCCAAGGAAGGCTTCACCCTGCACTACACTACCTTCGATCAAGCAATCTCCCTGGTGGCACATCATGGAATGGATGCCCTCATGGCAAATCTTGATATCTAACACGCTTTTCGACTCTGGCAGGGCAACTCTTACATTGATCTCTACCTCCCCCTTCCTCTTCAATCGCTTAGCCGATGCCTCCTGAAGACCAACTTTCACATTCAGGACCTCATGCATTTCCTCAATGACTATTTACCAACTCTTCGGTCTGCGCTCACATTGTCAAACCATTATTTACGTGGCCTCTCAGGTGGGCATACCCTGGTCCCCAATAAACTTGTAGGACCCACGACCCAAATGGTTTTTTAGGTATCCTCATTGACACCACCTGCATGGAAACATCCCTACCCAATATGCAGGCCACTGGTTTGCTGGCCTCCAGAACTCCAGAATCGAGCAATCCAATGGAAAGAGCTTTACCCCATCTCTCTTACATGTCTTCTCTGGGGTGATCAGTGATCTAGAAAGAAGCTCCTCTTCCACTGCAGCAATCAAGCTGTAGTGGACATTGGGGCATCAGGCCCCAGGGTTTTCCCTTATGCGCAAATACGCGTCAGAGACGAATTGCTTCGCCGAAAAAGAAAGAAAGGACGCAAAACACCAAAGAGAACCGGTCTTCTCGGACGCACACGTTCTAGAGCGATAGTTTACTAAAAATTCGTTTAGAACTGCGTAGATCTTCAACAAATCTCTTTTGAGAATAAAGTATAAAGACTTTTGAATCTTCTTCTTTGGTCTGACTCCTTTTTTAAAACTAAAAAGAGCCATACTCACTTGAATGGTTATTGAGCTTGCTTTTCTGATGTTCCGATTGAAACTCCTTGCAGAGGCTTGGGAACTGATGTCTCATTGTGAGGCATTCTGGGACAGAAAGTAGATTGAAAAAATGTTGCGGATTCGGAATCACAGCCTGGTGAGTCCATTAAATATAAGAGGCATTTTCTGCCTGTTTGGTTGAAAGAATTTACATGGTTGCCATATCTGTAAGTCAACAGGTAAGAGAAACCCTTTCACAACTACAGGCTGTAACAATCTTCATAAGTCGACCCTGGAAATGCACCAAAAATCTAAAGATCACATTTTGAGTATCAGTGACCTCAAGCTTAGAGAAAGCTTTCAAGTGACAGTTTCAAATGCAAAGAAGAACATCGACAATCAAACCCTGGAAATTACAAGGAGGCAGATTGTTCAGCTTAAAACAGTGTATCTTATGACTAAGAACGACGTTGCCGCTGATAACTTTATTCCAGTAATGGAACTTCAGGCTGCGAACAGTTGCAGAGATGCTTCTGTTTTTTAGAAGAAACCTGAAAATGTTTCAGAGATTTCCTGGAATTTGTAACAGTGCTAACCTTAGGACTCCCACTGTTCCCTCTGGGACCCTCAACCTTTGGTTAAAGGAGTCTTAGGGACTCAGAAAGGAAAATATTGAGGGAAAACCCTGATCAGGCTCTTCCCAAGACCCCCTAACCATGCACCTTGTCTGCTCCATTTTCTTTAGTACTGCCACCAACCACTTTACAGTCCTTGTCACTCACTTTGTCGGCACTAATAATGCTGTCGCTGACTCTTTATCCTGTTTGCAGATCTCCTGGTTCTGCTATCTCACATCAGCATCAGACCCGGACCCAACCCCTGTCCCCCTCGACAATTTTATTTGGCAGACCGTCTACCCTTCCTCCAATCTCAGGAGATGGTGGACTCAACCCACCACTCCTACCAGGCTGGCATTCGGTGATACTCTAACTTCTGTGGCTCCAGAGGATGGCAAAGTTTCCTTGCCACTGAGATCACACTACGCTTCCTGTCGCCTTCTTGGCTGACCAAGTCAGCTACAAGACCATAAAGTTATATATGGCAGGCCTCCTTTTTATACACACCAAAAACAGCCTACCGGACCCCTTCTCATCAGCACCACTCCTTCATTTCCTCCTGCTTGGAATCAAGTGCACCATAGGGCTCTTATCTTGTCAGCGCTTCCCTGTAACAATGTCCCTTCTTCGACAGATTAAGGAGGAGCTATCTCATACCTCTGATTTCTGGCCATCTGATAAGCTGATGCTGTGGTTGGCGTTTACATTAGCCTTCCACTGCTTCTTCACCTTCAGCATCACAATTAAATCCCCTAGTGCATCTTTGCACCACTTGTCCCTTCTAATGGGTGCCTCATGTTGCATCTCAAGTCATCCAAGACTGACCCTTATTGTCAGGGCTGTTTCTTATTGATTGCCCCCTCTCATGGTTCAGTCTGGGTTGTCCACAATCTTCCAAAAGTACCTTGCTTTGCATCCAACCAGCAGTGCATCCCCTCTTTAGTTCTTCCAGTCTGGCAGCCACCTCACCAGAGCCAAAGTTACTAATATTCTTCGCACCCTCCTCCAGCATCTTGGTATCCCAATAAAACTGTATGCATCCCACAGTTTTAGAATTGGTGCATCCACCTCAGCAGCTGAGGCTGGCCTACCTCTTTGGCTGATCAAAACACTCACACAATGGTCAAGCAACTGCTTCACTATTTACCTTAGAACTCCGCCTTCTGTTCTTTAGAAGGTTCAAAGCCTCTTGGCTACCACAAAACCTCAGGTCAGGGGGCCTGGAACCTTCTACAAGGACGTTGCACTCCTACTTTTCCAAAGTCAGTTAGTTCACCAGGCACTATTTGGGATGTCATTGGGTGCACACCCGCCACTCTTACCAGTGCATAGCAGGCTGGGAGGGACCCCCACCCCACCTTAGTTTACTCAGTTATGTTGCCTCCTTTATTACTGTCTAGGGTGTGTTGCTGCCACCCTCATTGCATTACCCAGTTAAGGGTGTGTTGCTGCCACCCTCATTGTATTACTCAGTTTAGGGTGGGTTGCTGCCACCCTCATTGCATTACCAGGGTGTGTTGCTGTCACCCTCATTGCATTACCCAGTTAAGGGTGTGTTGCTGCCACCCTCATTGCATTACCAGGGTGTGTTGCTGTCACCCTCATTGCATTACCCAGTTAAGGGTGTGTTGCTGCCACCCTCATTGCATTACCAGGGTTTGTTGCTGTCACCCTCATTTTATTACTCATTTTAGGGTGTGTCGCTGCCACCCTCATTGCATTACCCAGTTTAGAGTCTGTTGCTGCCACCCTCATTGCATTACCCAGTTTAGAATGTGTCGCTACCACCCTCATTGCATTACCCAGTTTAGGGTGTGTTGCTACCACCCTCATTGCATTACCCAGTTTAGAGTGTGTCGCTGCCACCCTCATTGCATTACCCAGTTTAGAGTCTGTTGCTGCCACCCTCATTGCATTACCCTGTTTAGAGTGTGTTGCTGCCACCCTCATTGCATTACCCAGTTTAGAGTGTGTTGCTGCCACCCTCATTGCATTACCCAGTTTAGAATGTGTCGCTGCCATCCTCATTGCATTACCCAGTTTAGGGTGTGTTGCTGCCACCTCATTGTGTGCACCTTTGGGATGAGTTGCTGCCACCCTCGCTTTACCTTGAGCAGGTTGCACCCAACAACCTTTAGTCCCATTTACTGCCAAAGCTTTGTAGTTGTGTACTTTCTTTGCTTAAGTCTACATTATTAGTGACTAAGTTGTTAACAATAGACCATACTTGCTGCTGATAAGCTGAGCAGGCACTGCCTACAATTAGTGGGTTTCCTGCTGTAGCTGAAATGAATTTGTAAAAATGAAAGTACATGTAAAATTAATCCTTAATTGCCCTGGGGCCCATGCAACTTCATGTACATCATAAAATGATCTAAGAAAGGCCTTCTTTAAAATGAAGGCCTTTTCTCTAATAAATACCCCCTCTACACTTGTATTAGGATGCCCTCTCTAATAAACACCTCTTGACTATTAGATGCCCCCATGAAAATTGCTCCAAAATACTAGGAAATAGAGCAAAAACATTCATTACAATTTATTCAGTTTCTTGCTTGATCAATAAGAGTTTTTGAATTGCATCTTGTTCAATGTCAGGTTCAAAGTCGGAATTCTGACATTGAAGTAGAGATTTAGTAAAAAGTGATGTAGATCTCCAAATGGCCTACACTTGTAAATGTTACAGGTCAAAATAAAAAATGTAGTCAGGTTAAAAGGTTGTTTCTCAATTTTCTTTGTCTCCTATCTTTGATTACCCGTCAATTAGGGTTTAAGACATAGAAAATTAAGAATTAACTTAGGTTGAAAAATTTTAACGTTTATTTAATTTTGACTTGTAGTATAGACTGGATTGACCGTAAATTCAAGGAAAGCATGTACGTTTTGTGGAGATTGTTACAGTTATTAGAATGAATGCCTAGATTCTTCTATTTTTTATTTCCCATTTATTATACGCTCCTGCTTGGGTAGCCTTAAATTGAGTAGATACCCAGGGTGTCTATAATTTATGGTATAGGTCATTTTTCTCTAAAGAATAGTAGAAATGGTTGTGATAATTTTCCCACAACTCCACTTTTTTGAAAGCCACCCTTGGTCCAGTAAAGGAAGCCACTCACTGGTTATTAATGTTGTTTTCATTGCATTCTTCAGAACGCATCCGAATCTTCGTGTTCCTTTGGTACAAAGCCACAAATTGTGGAGGTATCGCGGGCAATGGCTGATTGGCTGCCCCTACTGATTTTATCAGGGGCATCTGGGCCAGCAAAATGGACTCTTTTCATTTCGGTTTTGTTTCCATAAGTGACGAAGGCGGATGTATTCATAATAAGTGATTATGGTACCTCTAGTTATTAATTTATTTTTATTGTTTATTTAGTTAAGTGTTACTTTGCATCCATCAGTTGAGGAGTTTGAGGAGGATTTACGTCAAATGCTTAATCAAGACAGACTTCACAAGGTACATACTGACAGGTGTACGTTTACTGATCATTTGTGTGGATGTTAAATTTGACTTGCCACATCATACAAGCCACTAACAAAAATTGGTATAGCATTGCACAATTCAATATTATTTTATGATCTCAGCTAATCAAAAATGGGTTTACCTTGTTGTGATAACCTCTGTGAAGTTTTCTTGTTTTGTATCTGTTATTTTTGGAAGCTCTGTTGTGTTGATGTCTCTCTTTTCTTTGTTTTATGTCACTTGTGAAGGTTCCAGGTTCTTATCCACTGAGGCTGAGCTATCTGTAATCTTCATAACTTCACACACTCATTATCGGCTGATCAGTGATTTCTTGAAAACTTGTCCACATTGTAGAGTTAATGTATCTTTTGTTCAGATAGATGTAGTATGTAATCAAGAATCTCTGGTTAAGGACAAACTTTCATTGTTGGTGTTTTTGTCAACCAAAAAAAAACAGTCCATACTATTATAGTTGTTATTGTTTTGCAGAACAATATAATACCAGATGATGGACTACAGATTTCAATTGTTGAAAGGCGACTCAAGGTTTGTTTACTGATGATGCTAGAATACCAGAAGACTAGGTGTGTAATATGATATACAGTCAACTCTCTCTAAGACTGACACCTTTGAGACCAGTAGTATTTTTTTATCTTAGAGAGATGTTCTTCTCGTAGAGAGTCAACTAAACAATGTAAAGAAAGACAGGGACCAGATCTAGGCAACTGTTTTAGCAAGATTTCCTCATACAGAGGTGTCCATTAAGAGAGAGTCAACTGTACACATAATATGATATAACTACAGTGGCAGTGGATATTTGCAAAATCACATTTTTTTGTATAGACCTAATTGAACTCCAGATATTTCAAGTTTCATTCACTTTGTAATAATTAAATAAGTGGAATAATAGTGATCATCCAGGTGGGCTTAGTCCTGAATAGGACTGTAGTTGACAGTGACTGGTTTCCGCAACCTTTGTGGTAGTCATCTTCAGAGTCAAAGTGGGTTGTATCTCATCAGTTGATGATGTTAAACTCTGGTTATTGCTCTGATTGGTCAATGAACTTGTGTTGTTATTGGACATCTGTCAGTTAAGCCATGGTGTTATTGCATGGCTATATGCATTTTAATCTATCTTTTGTCATAGCAATAAAGGTCCTTACTGTTAGTCAAGTTGTCAGTTTGTCCAGTCACTCATGGTTTGTCATTTTTGCTTGAGTTCTCAATGAGTCGTTGGCAAGGTACAGATAACAGCTAACTTTGATTCAGAGGTGTTTGTCCTATGATATTAAACGAGCCTTCCTAAGTAAGATTTTGGTAGTAGTTTGTAGAATGTATCCTAACATTTAGTTTTTTGCTCTCCTCCCTGTCTGCCCTCTGGGCTGTCTTTGTCTTTGACATTAATTTGTAAGCAGTTGTTGTAAAGTGATCATTGGTTTGTGTGTAACATACAATGCTGTTAGGTTGTAGGATTCCTGTAATAGTTTCAGAGTTGCCTCTCACATAAGGAATTGTCACTGTCATATAAACAGGGTGAGAGTTAACGTGGGACTGAGTGTTGAGGTCGGAGGTGTTGTAACAAAGTCCGGTTTGTAGTTGTTTTTACTGAAAATGTTGTTACAACTTTTTTAACATTGTTTTAAATAAATCTTGTTTTATTAATTTTATATTTTCTCTGAACAGGTGTCAGTACATAATGGCTGGAAGTTTGTCAGTGACCCTCACATTGTCTACCTGGAGCCTGAGTATGAAGGAGGAAAATCAGGCAAAAAATCAGCTGCATCCCAGTCATCTTTACATGGTAACTTAGGAGTACCCTTTATTTTACACAGTACTCTCTTGTTTGCATGGTACATTTATTTTTAAATTGAGCTTTGTTGAGCTTTGTTTGTGACTCATCATTACTTTTTTCAATGCAAAAGTAATGCGAAGTAGAGTTAAATTGAGGGAAATTTCAAAGTATCAATTTTTAGGTTGCAGTAAACTTGAAAGATTTATAAGAAAGAAAGAGATTGACATAAATTCCAAAGAGCGATCCAAAGTTTTCAAGATGCAGAAACCATTAATTTAATTAGTGTTGGACTGTTGTACATCAATCATTTTTTCAGGTAAAATTATTTCTTTGGTTCTGCGTAGTCGACTAGAGCTTAAGGAACTTGTTCATCACCCCCTGTTTGCTATTGTATTTGAACTGGAGTATGTTATGTCTGAGCCATTTGCTCAACCACTGATTGAGACCAAACGAAAAAAGGTTGGTAATAGTACTGTCAGTAAAAACCTGCGAGTTTACTATAACTGTTAACTGTTACCTACAGTCACAGACAAAAGTAGTTGCGAAGGTTGTACAACTTAATAGTAGTCCATTTTAATCCTCAAAAAAGAGAGTTTTCCAATTTGCTAACTATCCCCCGTCCCCCCTATTCAATGTTGGGATATAACAGAATAATAAAGCGCACAAACATTAACGTTTTGCTCAACATTGGGCCAGGGGCGAGGGGAGGAAGAGAAAAAAGAGAAAAAAAAAGCAACCTTCCCGACACTTTTGACAATGATTGTAGGTACATGTAAAGGGACAGTCAACTAAGGTTAAGGTCCTGCAGCGTTAAGATTTGTGAAGCATTATTTTTGTTCAAGATACTTTGAATTACAGAGGTGTCCAAGGAGGTACATTGTATTTGCCATAGTCCTGCTCAAGTTTTTTCCTTATTCTATTT